TGCATGTTGTTCATGATCATGTCGGCCAGATAGGCGCGGGGGTCCTTGGCTTGTCGCAGGTCGGATGCGATCTCGTTGATGTGGACCTTCATCTGTTGGATGAGCTTGCCGGTCGTGTCCTCCTCCCAGCGAAGAAGGTAGAGCATGTAGCGCCGGTCGTCGTCGCCGGTGATGGCCTCTGCCAATTGGTCCGTCTCGTGTGCTCCAGCGGTGGCGCGTACCACGAGGCACTTCTGGGCCGGCACGAAGCGTTCTGTGTCGTCTTGGCCGGCTGCGGTCAGGGCCTCCCCTCGGGATGCGGCTTTGGCGTCACTGTAGGTTTTCCAGGGGTGGTATTGCTGGAGGCACTCGGGACAGAAGAACTGGCCGTGCTCGGTGATGTTGGCGGTGGCGCGCAGCCAATGTGACGAATGTACCACCGCTTTGCACGACTGACGTCGGCAGATAAAGTGCTCGTCGGTGGACGGGAGGACGCGGGTGATGAAATCGGTGAGGTGTGTGGGATAGTCGTCAGAGTCCAAGAACTCAAGGAGGGTCCCGGTGCTGTTTGCGCGCAATGCCTCGGTGAGGTGCTGCCTCTCCCATTTGTGGAACATGAGGAATAGGTCTCGTCGGTCCTCGGGTGCCAGGTTGATGAGGTCGAGGCACATGGTTTCGGCGAGGAACTTGGAGTGGTCGCTGATGAGGCGGCGCAGGTGGTTGTTGGAGGTTCCGGGGTGGATCTCGCGCAAGGAGTCCATCATGTCCATGTGGGTGTTCGTGCGGATGGTGCCGACGGCCTTGTTGGTCATGTAGTCCAAGCGGCGTCGCCATGCTCGTCGGCACAGCTTGCTGAACACCTCGAGGGTGAATGGCCGGCGGTTCTTCACGTCGAGGGCTGGTACCCTGATCCAGCGGCGGTTGACCTGGTCCCACCTGTGCACGGTGATGTAGGCGTCGTGAGCGTCGTCCGTCTCTGGCACCGCAATCTGTAAGGTCGGTGGGGCGATGGTATGGTCGCTGATCATGGCCGCGAGGTCGGGGTGCTCTGCGATGGTGTTGTACGGTGCGTGTTCTGCAATCAGGGAGTTCGGGTCGGCCAGGAGCTCCTCGAACTGGAACCACGGCACGCTACTGGTGTCGCAGGTAGCGCACCCGTAGCACGCCCCGACCCACTTGTTTCGCCAGTCGGTTTCCTCTGAGAAGCAGAGGGGCATGATGTACTGGGATTGGTATGGGATCTGGCAGAACGAGCACTGCAGTGTGGCTGGTGTTGGATTCAGGTTGTGCCAGTCCAGCAGCAGGTAGCGTGTCCGCGTGTCCGGCTCGGTGTTGGTCGACTCCATGAAGAGGTCGATCGCGTCCGTGGTGGAGAGGCGGGGATTCTCGGTGCGGAAGGTCTGGAACCTCGAGAGGACGCCGGTGTTGTAGGACCGCAGGAGGAGCTCGCAGACTGCGTCGGTCTCGCGAAGTGCCATGTTGTGCGAAGGGGGTGCGATATCGGATACACAAAAACCAGCCTGAAAATTCCTTCGGAATTGGAGGTGGCGCTTGCCGAACTCACGCAGGAGTCGGTAGTGTGCCGGGTGTGAGTCAAAGGGGGGGGGGGTTGGTCGGGCCAGGGGGGTGTGTCTAGGTGACTCGGGTCCAAGGATGGCCCGTTGATGGGGGGGATCTGTACGACGCGCCACACCGGCACAAACGTCGTGTTAGATGACACGCCACACCGGCACAAATGTCATCCCGAGGGGTGGAGCTGTCCCGTAGGACCAACTCCCTGCGGTGTGAAGGTGACCGGGGTCGGCCAGTTTGTCATCAGGGATCCGACCCGAAGAAACCGAGGGTAATCCACAGGGGATCCGAAGTGGGGTGAAAGACCGGTCGGGTTCGGGGCAGGCGAGTGGGGATTGGTCACCGCAGTATGGGCCTCAGCAGTGGGTCGGTTTGTCAAGGGGTATCCTCTCGAATCAAACAGGGGGGACGAAGAGGGTCGACCCGGGCTCGAGGCTCTCAGCGCTTTTGCGCGGTCCGAAGATGGATCTCTCTTCGGGAAAAGGGGGCCTCAGGCGGTCGCCTAGGCATGGGTGTCACCTGTGCGGTATGAGGGTCATCGCCCTATTGCTGGCCCACCATCGCACGGGACATGGACTTGGTGGGTCAACTTAGGGTGGCGGGTTTGGAGACTCCTCGGTGCCGCCTGGTCAGTAGCGGGAGTCCTGGCTCTGCTCAGTCTTAGAGCTCCCGGTTGAAGCGCAGGTGTCCGTCGGGGCCGAGCAGGATGCCCTCGATGGTCGCCATGGTGCGTTGTTCGGGGGTCAGGAAATTGGAAATTGTCTCAATGATGGTCTCCCCGAAGGTGATTGCCATGTTGTCCACAAAAGGGTCTCGCCGGGAGGCGCGACAGAGCTGCCTCCCGAAGGTAAGCCAGGAACAGGTCAGTTGTTGTAGCATGTGCTGCCGGTTGGCGCTGTTGAGCAGCTGGAGTTGTTGGTGAACGTGTTGCTGGATAATCCAGCGCAGCAGGCTCCTGAGAGGTGTGACCTGCGTAGTTGGTTCCACGGGTACAAGAAAAAGGCCCCCGAAGTCATTGCCGTACACATTGGTGGGGGTGCGCGAGAAGATGCCGTAGTTGGTCAGGTGCCATTGCAAGCCGATGTGGTCGAGGACGGAGGGGAATTCCGGTAGCAGTTCCGGATTGATCAGGAAGGTGGCATCTTCGTGTACCCGCGCGCGGATGTGTCCGGCCCGCTGGGTTGACAGCAGGCCTTGTGTGCTGTCGTCACGGTCGATGCCTGGCGGCTGGAGCCACTGGACTAAGTCGTGATGTTGGTTGGATGGTGTGGGGGGTGCCGCCTTGGATGGTGTGGTGGGTTGCGGGCGTGGTGAAGGCATGTGGTGCGGGACGGGCCCGGTCGATGTGGTGGTCGCCTCCGGGAATCGGGCCTGTCTGGGAGTGTCGCGAGCCGTGGGTGTCGCGAAGTTGACGGTCCGCGGTGGTGTCATAGCTCGGGAGTATCCCGGTTGTGTGGAGCGGCCTCGCTGCTGTCGGGGGGTGTTGTTCCGTTGGCGAGACGGGTTCAATGTGCTTGGCGGGCCACGTGGTACCGCGTATGGCATCTGGTAGGTGCACGGATCGGGGTACCGAACGTTCATGTGGTGAATGGGCGTGTTCCACTCGCCGTGAAGGTGGTCGCGGAGGATTTCAAAGGCCTCCCGCCTGGACACGAAGCGCCATTCACGGTGGGCTGTGTCATAGTGGATGCCCACGCCGGTGTTGGGTCTGGCATGGTGCACGAAGCGCAGCCAGGCAAGAAGGTCACCATGCAGGACTGAGTCGCTGTGAACATGGCGGCATTCGGCACCACTGTCGCAAAAGCCTTCTGGATGCCGGGCCTGTTGTCGAAGATGTCGGTAACAGATGTTGTCTCGCGGCATCCAACGCGCATCAACGAACTCCGGATGCAAAAAGGCGCACTGGTGGGCAGAGGCAGGTGCACGTCCCCTGCAGCCGGAATGGTTGATGAACTGGTTGCAGACCTGATTGCCCTGCAAGATGTTGCCCGGACCGACCGCCTCGGGCAGGATCGAAAGATGGTCCTGAAGGGCCCGGTACAGTCGTTCATAATCCGGGTCGAGCTCGGTCATTTCCATGAGCTGGTACTCCTCCACGATGGATGCGAAATTCGCTGGAGCAGTCATGGCGGTCGAGCAGGCAGGGCAGGTAGGTCGGAAAGAAAAAGAAAAATTTGGCTAATTCGCCAAAATGGCGAACGGAGCATGAATCAAGCAGTGTCATCCTGCAGGCACTCAAGGTTCGAATCTGAGTGTGATTCAAATGCCTTCCGCTATCGGTTGTTACTTTTAACACAAGTGTTAACCGCAACAACAACAACAACAACAACAACAACAACAACAACAACAACAACAACAACAACAACAACAACAACAACAACAACAACAACAACAACAACAACAACAACAACAACAACAACAACAACAACAACAACAACAACAACACACAACAACAACAACAACAACAACAACAACAACAACAACAACAACAACAACAACAACAACAACAACAACAACAACAACAACAACAACAACTCGAAATTTCCCAAAGAAGTGCTGTTGGACATGATTGAACGTGTTCGCATTAAACCAGGTGCAATTATTGGGCAACCCCCCCTCCCCCCGTGCCAAACAAGCCTCCTCTCGGATGGTCTTCAAACCTACCAGAAGGGAGGTGCTCCTCTAAATGTCAAACGAAACAAGCCGCCTGCAAGCAAGCGCACGCAGGTGCAACAGGATCTATCTACTTGCGTCTGGTTTTGGGACCTCATAGAGGCAAAACCGCTGAAAGCGGAGAAGATCATTTTGAGGCAAAAACGCAAGGAGGAGACTACCAGGTTGGGCTTGTGAAGAAACTGATGTTGGATTCTATGACCTCGGGTGAGTTTCAGGGGTCCAACTTTCCATGTCACACGCAAGTCCAAAGTCGGAATCACAACCTGCACAGGGGGCTCCAGCTGAGAACCTGATCCGCGAAGGGACTGAGGGACTTCTGGCCTTTGGCTACCAGGTCGTTGATTCTGCGAACATGGGGACTTCTGAACGGGAAGTCCAACAGATCGCTGATCTTTTGCCAGTTCACCGGATTTTGTTTATTTATTCAAAAGGTGGCCCCACAAAATCCCCACGCCATCCACGAACCAACGGAACCGACCCAGGCTCAGGTAAATGTGGGTAACTATAAATCATACATGGAGTGTTCGGCATTTGATGGCCAGATGTACCATAGCCGAACATGGCGATGAACCGCCATTCCAACACAATCCATGTATGGAAGTTTCAACTCTGCTAAACGTTTAACTTTTGGTGGTTTAATGGAAAACCCATTAGTTGGCAAAAAGTTCCAGTCCTAACATCCAAGCAGAATGATGCTATCTACACGGAGCCTCATTTTGCTTTGCCCAAAGGCACCCCATCAATTCGCATCGAGTGCGAATTCGCTGGCCCGCCTATGCCGCTCCGGTCGCGGCGCTGACCCCGCACGGCCGCCTGTTGCGTCGATTTGGGCCTTTGCCCAGTGGCCCTGAAAGTTCGACCACCTCAAGCAACACGAGGTAGCAGTGCCACTGAGCTTTCTCATGTCATCAAACCAAACTGTCAAATAGCCAGCGTGGTTTTCCAAACAAATTGGAACAGGGTACACTCAACAAGATGTTGTTTTTTCCTTTTTGTGGCTTTTTATCTGCCGCTTATTGCGCTTTCCCATTTGCTTTCCGCTCCAGGGAAGCCACGCCACCAGCTGCCGCCGGTGCGCACCCCGCGCCTTGCTCTGGTGCGCTGGCGTCCAGGTCAGCGTGGGATGCGAATCAAACCATTGCCTCAGGCGAACGAAGATGCACAAGGAAGACATGGAGCATATTGACCCTCATCCCTCCAAATGGGTCAGCTCTGCTGGTATATAGTACCTACGTGGGCCGTCTGGAGATCCAAAGGGACCGTGTGATCAGGCGAGGGGATCGAAGGGTTAGCACCTTCCTTGGGGGTGGTTGGGGTCCGATTTTGTACGCTTGATTGATCTTGGTAAGTGTGTGTGTGTGTGTGGGTGTGATAATTCGTCACTCCAAACAGGGACTCCCAAGTCAACAACCTTCGTCACGGGGGGAGGGTCGCCAGCCCCTAGCACTGTGATATTTACTTGGATGCTGCATAATCGCTGCCAAATCACCGATCACTGGTCACCTACTATAGCGCCGGGTCATTTGGAGATACTGCTGTAGCTGTACTGGTACCCGGAAGCGCGGGGATATGGCTGTGGGTCAAGAATAGGGTAACTCCAAAATGGTTGCCCTGGTAAATGGAAACATGGACTAAAACCTGCGGTCCAATTCCATGCAGGGGAATCATCACTCCAGGGTTTCTTAGGCGGTGCAAGATGGATTTCGTCCATCCACAGTACTGTCACTGGTTCTAGCCCTTGTGCAGTGGTACCCGGAAGCCGGGTTTATGAACAACTTGCTGGTGCGATAGGTAGGGAATTTGGAAATAAACCCGCGGATTCCCGAATAAATTATTCGAAGCCATTGGATGGTTTTTCTCGGGGTTCTTCCCTGCTCAGCACCAGCAACTCAGTTGTCCAGTGACCCTGAAAAAAAAAGCGGGAACCCTTTTTGGGGAAGACCATTTTTACTGGGGCAGCCACCAAAACTAAGTGAGCCATGTCCAAAACGTGTCGTGATTCCCTATGTCGCATCCCTCTCCTTACGCCGCTTCCTTACGCAGCCTTACGCGCACCGTGCTTTCGCTTACGCGGCACATGGGCTTCAAGTAGGCCTTACGCAGCCCTTGCGCCAGAGAGACCGGATGCAATTCCGTGGAAGGCGGCGAGCACTTTTGCCTTTCACGCAGATGACGAGCCGTGGAGGAAGATGAAGAGGAGGAAGAACAGCTTCATTGCAGCGAACTTGCGAGTCAACGCATTGTCGTCTCCGGCTTTGGGCCCTTCCAGCTCCCAAGAGCGGGGCTTATCGTAGAAGCGTCGTCTCCAATTGCAAGTATCCTTCTTGTTTGGCGGGGTCCTGCTTTCTCGCGATGGCGCTGCCTTGTGGAGCAAGGCAGCGCCGTGCGGCAGAGCTGGACAATGAGCTCGGCAGAGCTGGACAATGGCAGGTCTAGGAAGGGCTTTTCAAAGCCAGCAAGGCTACTACTCAGAAAGGGCTTACGCGGGGGCTTACGCGAAGCTTACGCGAGCCTTGCGCGGAAAACGCCCAAACATTCCCTAGTTTTGCGTTGTGTAGTAGCAAAGGACAATATTGCTTTATAAGGCCCAATGGGTAGATATGACAAGCACATGACTAATGTGCACATGGATATGACAAACAACATGACTGAAGAAACACAGAGGATATTCCAAACAACAGGACTGAACAATAGCTTACGCGCAATGCTTGCGCGACATGCTTTTTTCGACAGTTGCTTACGCCGCCTTACGCCCGTGCAGGTTTTTCTTACGCCACGGGTCGATATGACATAGTCCCTGATAAACATGTAGACGGAGGTTTTGGACGTTGCACAAGTGGTGCCACTGAACAACTGAGGCAAGACAAAAACCTCAGCGAGCTCAACGGACGAGTCCAGTTCGCCCGTTTCGCGCGCACGAGAGCGCGAAACGCTGAGACGCCTCTCAGGCTCCGGCCGTGCATTCGCCTTGGGCTGACAATGCACGGAGCCTTGCAAGGACTCCCGCGTCCACCTCGGATGGGATTGCTGGGAAGCGACGGGCCGTTTTTGGCTTTTCCCCGTTTTTTTGTTTAGGGTACCCGTTTTTTTGGGGACGGTTTGAAAGGACTATCAAAAAAGCCATTTTTTTTTTGGGGGGGGGGGGGGGACATATGATGAATTATGCTTATTTAGCTTTTGGAGGGGGTCCCTGTCTGGGAAGGCTTGAAAGGGAAACCACCAGGAAAATCACCATTTGAGGGTCTCTATTTTGACAAATACACATATTACTCACACCCAAAACCTCCACGCTTAGGGGAAGCTACTTTGGGCCCCCCTTTTTGAGCTTCCTTTTATTAATTTACAGGGGAGTAATTCACCAACCTGAAATAAGAGACCTCGAGAAAACAAGCTTCATCATGGGTGAGAAATAACATTCATTAGGTGGTAGCCCTGCTGCGCCCAAGTTCGATCTGCAGCTGCACAAACGTATGGATTAGTGAAAAAAGTAGGGGGACGCCATTAACTTGTGGCTTTCCTGTTGGTGTCCCTGCGCAAGGTACCCTTTCAACCACAGATACGCCAGCTGCACCTTGGTCTGTTTGATTAGGAAGTGACATAAAGCAGTGGTAGACTTACATGCACATCAACGTATGTAACATATACATCGCATATGCATATGCGCCACAGTCAAATTCACCAACCTGTCCCGAACTCACCTGGGAATCTGCTAACAAACTTTGGGGATGTCTTTTGAAGGGATCTTCGGGGGATGTCTTCAAGGGGATGGGGATGTCTTTTTGCGGTTGTCTGGGGCGATGTCTTTGGTGTCTTTGGAAGATCTCTTTGGATTCTTTTGGGGATGCGTTGAGGAATGTTCTTGTGGATTGCTGCTAGGGTGTCCTTCTAGTTGGGGATGTCTTTGGGGATGCCCTTGCGGTTGCACATGCCTGCATTCAGGTTCTTGCTACCTTTAGTGAAGTATTCCCAACAACTCTCGAACAAGTTGTTGTTTGGCCCAAACAAAGGAGCCTCGGAGTTGACTCTGACCAGGGGCCCGAAACACAACTTCCAAACACAACATCCCAGGCTAGGCATGCCCGCCCAAGCCGCGTCGGACAGCGGCGGCCTGCTTTGCTCGAGCTCCAGTTTTCATGTGGCAAAGCTTTCTTCGCTGCTCAAGCTGTTGCGTTTCTGCTGCTTCTGCGACTGCAGCGTCAATGGGCGTTGCATTCTGGTTGGCGGAACCGGCATGTCTCATGTTCCTCCTTCTCGGGATTTCGGGGAATCAACCATGGTTAGTGCTTGGTACCCACATCAAAATGATGCTTACAGTATTCAAGCAGCCGGCGCCTATTCGTACTTCGCTTCTTCCATGTCCTGTCCAAGGCCCATGCAGGCAGACGTTGCCTGCATCTTCTCGAACGGCCAAGATCTCGGGAGCCGTCCTGCAGTGGCATCCTCCGTGTGCGTCAACACCTCCCCCGACTCCAAGTCCAAAGATGCGAGCCAAAATCCCGTGTTCCTACGTAAAAGCCTTCCTCACTGCCCTCAAAGGCACACATCATGGAGGTATCTAGCTTTGAGAAGCCAACTTGCTTCACATCGTTCACAACATGCCAGGAGAAATACTGGCGCTCCCTTGAAGCAGGGTTGTACTTCTGTAAGGCGGTGTCATGGTCCATCTTCTGATATCCCCCCAGGAGAGTGACCTGAACCTCCTCCGCCGGGACGTCGCAAAAGGTCGCCCTGAGCGCATCGATCACTTCTTGCAAGGGCAAAGCAGTGGGCCTCCTGCCCGGTTGATACCGTTGAACCCAGCAGGCGTAGAGTATGGCAGACAGGGGCACGTGCCAAAGCCCAGACTTCGCCCCTGGTGCCTGGCCCAAGCGAAGAGACAAATGCAGGTCTGTACTTCAGCTGTGGTCAAAAACTGCCTCCCATGAGCTCCCTGGTACTCTGCGGGGCAAAACTGGCCCAAGAATCGCTGCGAGTCTCGGCATATCGAGTCCCAAAGCTCTGGGGATAGCCGATTTGGGTGGTCAACCGCCAGAACCGATTCTCGCGCTTTTGTTGGAAGATCCTCCTCCTCCATCTGTGATGTTGGATATCCTGCCCGCAGCGACAGCAAGTGGCTTCACTGCTCCAATTTCTGGAACCGCTAGATGTACATGTCCAAAGGCGCGCTTCACCGACTGCGGTCCGTGCCAAGCGCGTCTGGCGGAGCTTTGGGTGCTGTACACGCAGCGAAAAGCTGCGAGAAGCACAAAGTGATAGCACGGCGACCGTGAGCATCCATAGGCCCCAAAGGCCAAGTGGGCGCCTGAGCCCATGGCTAGTGCGTGAGGACATTGGATCTTCACTTTGGGGCTTTCCAAATAGGGCGAGCGGATTTTGTGATCACCATGAGCCAAAAAGGACCTTCAGAAGCTCAACTTGTTTGTTGGCTTTGTGGTGGAGTATTCCGCAAAAAGGCATCTTGCTTGTGCTCATGCTGTTAAATTCTGTTGCCGGCCCGAGCCACATGCTGCTTGGACCATGGAAGCGTTGGCTAAGCCCCGCAACTCCCTCGTTGCCATGCTTGTACCGACTCCATGTTGCCATCGCATTGAAGTTAGTTTCAAAACCCTTTAGAACAGGGATCTGGCCAAAGCGCACGCCCTTTAATATGGAGTGGGTACAAAGGGGGGGATCCAAAGGGGGGTATATTAACTAGGGCTCCCATTTCGGCTTGGGCCTCCCCGGCTTTACAGTTCATAATTCAATTTGTTCTTGAGGCAAAGGTTCGGCAACACACAAACCCTCTGCTTGGGTGTTGAACTCACAAATGGTTCGTCAATTCCCTGCCTGTGTTCGCTGCATGCATGCAGGGACTTGGCAATAACTTTGGTGAGAGTACTCAATCACACCCCCTTGACTACACTTGACTACAGAAGATGACAGTAAATATTGACCGCTGCTCGTTGTCACATAACAAATACAAATCTGTAGACTCGCTGGGTTCTCTGTGGCATTGACCAGTCGAACCCGATAGTCATGCCAGATGACATTCAAGGGGTTCCAAACCGTTCAGTTCCGAGCAACCTTCCCTGGCCATCAAGTAAGCAGACCCAAACAAATCAGTAGTAAGGTCGTTTCAGCCCATCTCCCCCCCCCCTCGCCCCTTTCGGCCGAATTTTAGACCCAACACCCCCCTTCCCCCCCGCCGCCCCCTCCGTTTGGCGCCACCGCACCCCCCCCCCCCCCAGGGCTCTCGCGCGATGGAGTGCTCGTCGCCAGCCAGAGCCTGGTGATCCCTTCGGTGAAAACCGATTCCACAACCGAGCGTCCCTCTAATTGGGTGGATTGAAGTCAGTTAGTTCCCTTTAATTGGTTGGTTTGAAGCTCTAATTTGTTGTTTGAAGACAGGTGGCTTGGTGGTTGGGTGGTTTCCCATTTATCCTCTACAAGAACCGGGGTTTCAAATCCAACGCGCCAATCCAAAACACCAATTATAGGGCTACCTGAAAACGGGTAATTACGACTGTCTCAATGTTGGACATCAATCGATCAATCAAAAACAGTACAAATCCTGTACACAATCCATGCAGGTAATATGCATAACTGACCCATAAGGGTAAATGCGGACCCATTTGGAGGGGTTGTTGGTGCAGGTAAATATTGCATACATTGAGGGCTTGGGAATACACGAATTCTCTCTTGTTCGGACAAATCAAGGGACGGCTCCTCTCACTTTTTGGAGAAGTTGTGCACTTTCAGGGGCGGGTTGCTTCACTCTTTGCAACCAACTTGATGTCGATCATGTTGACGCAACAAGTCAACAGACAGATCGTCACCATTTGGCTGTGGGTCAAAACAGATCGTCACCATTTGGCTGTGGGTCAAAACCTTGCACCCCTGGTGAACATCAGGTGGCAAATGGATGTTCATCCACCCCAAAATGGAGCCATAGGTTATTCCCCATGGACATTTCAACCAAACACGGCTTGCCTTTTGAAGCTGTCGCTTCAGAAATCAATCTGTGGGCCCCCTTTGCTAGACCAGGTCCTCCAGTTAGAGAGGTTAGAATAAGGGTACCAACTTTTTCTCTGTAGTCTATTTTAGTAGGGGCTTTCCCTCCCAACCAAAACAGGGGTTAAGAAGGGCACCAATTGCTGGGACCCAGTAGACGTTCGCCGAAATGTCGCGCATTTCGGCTGCTTGGGAGTCAAGGCAACCCCCGTGCCATGCGGATTTGGGACATCCACATCCCCACTCCGGGGGCGTGAAAGCGACTTGGTCGCTCGGAAAGCGCACCCAAAATCACATTGGCTTCCCCAAAAACCACGTGACGCAACCGATCAGAAACATCAAGACTGCCTGGCCCTTGCTAAAGGCCCTGCAACATGTTGGGGTTACACACACCCTTTTCTGTTGTTTGATCTCCAGGCCGAAAGAAACAGGCTGTGAGGCTCCAGTAACAAAAATACGATCAGAGATCAGAGATCAAGATTCACAAAACGAAACATATTCATCTCGGATGCCTCCAGGCGGAAAATCTTTCTTTTCGGCTCCCCTTCTGAATGCATCAAAAAGGGGCTCACAATTCCAAGGCAGACCCATGTGGCCGTGTCTTTTTGTTGAGGGTACCCTTTTTGGGGTTTGTTTAAAGGGACACCAAAACAAACACCCATTTTACAAGAGCCACACCCCCTCAAAAAGTTAATCAATTTACTGGTGGGCTCCTCCCAAACTGACACTTTCGAAGGTGCAAGAAGAGGAACTGGAGTGATCCCTGTTTTGGGAGTACCTAGAATCTCCATGACCCTTCAACAATTGGGGTATTACCCAAAATTGGGGGGTCATGACCCCTTTTTTCTAGGGGTCATGGAGACTCCAGGTACCCTTCTTTGAGGCAGACCCAACCACGCGCCTTCTCGAAAGCGTGCCGCAAGGAGTCCACGCGCCTTTGCAAGTCGCGGACCTGCGCGCGGGCCGTCCGTCCCCCAGCTTATTGGCAAAGGCGCAGGAAGAGCTTTTTGGTGGGTCACAATTTGGATGTGTTCCTTTGGTCGGTCAAACTGGATGCGTTTTTGTTGGGAGGGTCAAATCACCACATGACAAACAAACGGATACCTAGTCAAGGGTCAGGGGTTCAAAACTCCTTGTGTAGGTGAGGCGTGTCTTTCTGGATGAAAGACTTTCGGCAACAAATCGTTTAAAACGTTTCTCTTGAGGTTGACCCCCTCCACGTTTCCACCATCCAATAGATTCTAAGGCAAACTGGCCACTTGGCCAGGTGGATGGTCGTTCTCCAGGCTTCGCGTGGTTTGTTTTGTTAACTCATTTGAGCTACAATCAAACCCCGGGTAGATGAAGGTTAAGGGACAATCCCAGCCAGAAATGGGTGCGGCCGCCTTGGTAATTATTTACATTGGTTTGGGTACGCCATTTTAAGACCGATCGGTTTTGATTGTAACTCATTTCACCCAAGGTGTGTCCGAGTCCAAGGCAGTCCAGCCCAAAGCCCGAATCAACTGGGTGGAAAGCCGCACGTGTTCACCCCAAAGGTTGACTGTATTGGTCTCCGGCTGATGTCCTCTCCAAATGTTGCCCTTCGTGCGCGAAAGGCTACAAAAACCGCCCTCTTGCTCATCTCCCCCTCCCAACCACCTCCAACCCCCCCCCCCCCCACCCTCCCCCAACCCTCCCCCAACCCCACCCCCACCCTCCCCCAACCCTCCCCCAACCCTCCCCCCACCCTCCCCCCCCTTCCCCAACCCTTCTCATCCATTTGCTTGAGTCCCCTGGCGAAAAAAACAAGCATATGTCCAGTGATAAATTCTCTTTCCAATCACCAGGGGAGAATATCCTTCATATTCCTAAGCAAATGCACCTCCCCCTTCTCCGTTCCCCAACCCCCCAACATTTCACTGCCCCGAAGTGCCCATCCCGGACCCAACCCCCCCAACTTCCCAACCCCATGCCTGGGAGGACAGCTGAGATCCAAAGCTTCCGGTGGTACTCTGCAACGCCGAGTACTGCCGCGCGTAGCGCAGCGTGCTGGCCTCTTCAAATCGAATCGCCCTTAGGCTGGGTGAGGTCTGGGTGAGGTCTGGGTTTGATAAAACCACTGGGTTGGGCTGCTCATGAGCAAAGCAAAGTAAATTGGGCGTGGTTCAAACAAAGCTGTGTGTTTCAAATTCCATGTGTTTATGCAACTTTGTGTAAACATATATACTCAACATATCAGGACGCTTCATTCAAGTAAAACCCCTTCTGGACGTCTCTCACTCTTTTCGCGCATCGATTCTCGGCCTGGTTGACTGATACCAGGCACACCAGTTTAGAAGAAATGTTTCATGACTTGGGGAAACACCCCCCTTAAGGTCCAAATACCCCCCTTCATCCGGGCTCGGCATTTTCGACTGCCAGAAACGAGTGTGAGGCGAGAAGCCTTGAGCCCAACGGAAACGATATGTCACTGGGCAGTCCTCAGATCCCCTGCTAAAAGTTGAAAAATGGAGTGGGTAAAATGGAAAATGGGAACTGCCCCCTGTAAACCAAGTACAAGCCTAAAAAACCCAAGGGGACGGCTGGGAACTGCCAAGGAAAGTGGTCACAGGGTGACAACTTTGCTTCGGTGCAGCACGGTCTTAGCTTCCTAAAGTCTTGGATTTCCACTGCCTATGAGTGTTTTGTAGAGAATTTCTGGGCTTCCTCCGACGTCCACCGACTCGAAAAAACAAACATCTCCGCGCCGTCTCCACCGGGTGCGCGGGATGCACCGCCGCCACCATGCAGACCCGCGCGCTGCTGCCGGTGATGGCGTCCTCCGGTGATCGGCTTTCGCGGCGCGGATGGATCTGACGCCCGGAGGGTTCCTCACCCCTTAAAACTCCAAGCCCTGGGGAAGTTTTCATCTTTTACAGACATATAGCCCATGTTACCCAAAAAGTTGAGAAAAGTTGTGTTTTTAAGAGGTATGCCTCAGTTCCAACGGGTCGAGACGCTCGCTCTCCTCGGTTGTTTTTTCTTGCTTAAGGCCGTCAACCCCGAAAAGAGCGCCATATTTTTCTGTGTGTTTGCTCGCTGTTGTGGCGCAGAGTGGCTCCGTTTGCCGTTCCATTACCCTCACCCATGCGGGCAAATGGAATCACTGTGCCAAGGATACTATCCTTAACCAGTTCACCATCATCACGTATTTCCACCAGGACTGGCAAATCCATGGAATTCCTGGTACCCAGTGACCCTTGTAGCAAAAATAATAATTATTTTCGGGGTTGAGTTGTTCAGGGGTTGGCTTCAAGGAAAGGGAACTACCATTTTTGGGCTTGTTTTTGACACGCCATGCAGGCTTTGATCCAAACAAATCCGAGCATGGCTTATGTTCATGGCATCTCAGTTCATGTCGAACCCCCGCCTTCAGCAGCCACGTGAGAGCCGAGTCTCGGTACCTCACCGAGCCGGGAGCCGGAGAGTTGGAGGGGAAGAAAACCACAAATTTAAAGCTCCACCTTTGACACATTCCCAAATATTTGCTGACTGTGCTCAGTTTCCATTCCAGGGACAAGCAAAGCTGGTTGAAAAAAAAAACAACGCCTGCCCAAGTGCAGGTACCATGCTTCTGCAGATTGACAGGAAAATTCCAAGTACAATCCATGTTTGAAGAAATCCCTTGTTTGGGGTCATGCTCATTTGCAGGGAGTAAAGCGGTCTAGTCACAACACCAATGGCCCAACCGAGTCACAATCCAAACCTGGTGCTACAGAGACCTGCTCGAAAACCCGAGGTTAAGAACCCACCAGGCAGACATCTAGCTGTGACTGGGAATGTCTCTCTTTGGTCTTCATCTACCCAGTTTTGATTCTCACTCACCGGAAGCAAAATAACACCAACCCTTGAGGGTCCACGTAACACGGCATGTGTGTCCATCTCGTTTTGAGGTTGATCCTCTTGCCCTTCTGGTACGCATCGGGTGGTTACCCGCCCAGGTTTGTGAGCTTCGTAGCCCCTTCTTGCAGAGCCTTGGACCAGCGAAGTCTTCAAGCACGTCTTGAAACAGCTCACAGCAGCAGTCACAGCTCGATTGTGCTTCAGATGTCCAGAAATGCAGACCCTCTTTGGAGCACCCTTTCAGTCCGAAGGTTCCCCTGAACGTAAACGCTAACATTTGGGCATTGGTGTTGACCCTTTCGGACCCTTTCAGTCCACTGGGTGATTTTGGAATTGGTGTCTACCCCGAACCCCAAACTGCGCACGTCACGGCCAGTTTCATTTACCCGGGTGAGTCGCCCATTTCATCACACAGTTCTGTTTTACAACTAGGGAGCTTGTTGCCTAGGCTACAAAATAAGACATGGCCATGGGTCCAAAGCCCGTACCCCCAGTGAGCATCAACCAATCCCAACTAAAATAGGCTCTAAAATGGGTGGTGAATTCACCTTTAAAAAAACCAACATGGGATCCCAAAACGGTTTTGACAACCACAGCCACATCCAATTTGGAGATCGAGTGGACTCACAAGGCACAAGCGACTCCAACGCGAAAACGCGCACGGGACGTGCTCGCACTTGCCGCTGGCGAGGGCTCCCACCACCTCAGACTGCTCTCTCGGTCCATCGGTTTCCAGGTGGGCACCGGTGCCACACGTTGGTTTTTCGCGGAGGGGGCGTGCCGACCCTCATTGCGGATACATTTTGGCATATGTAGATACACTATGCATGAAACTCTCAGTGTTGCTCTTTTGGCTTTTCAAGGCTTCCCCTCAACAAAACAAAAACTATCCAAACCGGAGCCCCACAAAAACAAATAAGGAGCAACACATGGATCGCCTGAAAGTTTCAGTTGGGCAACCCGGAGCTTGCTGAAAGTTGAAATCGTGCTTGACTTGCACGGCGTCTTTGTTGTCCCCCTTAAACATTCCGGGCCTTCATCTCAGCCCGGCCAAGGGTAGAATGGATTTGCGGTTGTGTGTTGATTTCAACTGCTTTCACCTTTCAAAAACAAACAGTTTGAAGAAATGCAGGCCAGCTGGGCCCCAGTAGATCCCAGCTAGCTGTATAGTAGGCCCCAGTAGATCCCATGATCCCTACAGTTTTCAAAGTGGCTCAGTTCTGAAAAATGGCGTTGGCTTAACTTTGGGTTGCCCGACGAGAAACAAAACAACAACCCCAAAAGGGTACCCTTTAGCCTCAAAGAGGAAAGGGCCAATGAGGCACCTGGAATTCAAGAACTGAGGACTCCACCAATGAGGTAGCCTCACAAAGACCTTTTCCTTCATGGGTCAGTTCTGGGTCTCCTTTTTGCTTTGCCCTTTTGACCCACCCAAAACGCCATAAATCCCCTTCACCTGAAAAAAAAACGAGGACACACCAAACGCCGCTGGAATCCGCCGAACCGACCGACTGAGAAAGGCGCTCGGCCCAGCGCGGACAGGCCTCGGAACCGGAGCAGTTCCCTGCCCGTCTCATAAAAAACCCCGATCATACCTTCTAACCTTCAGTATGTTGATTCCTTATCATGGTAACCTTCAGTATTTTGATTCTTCATAACAATCACCTTGTCACAACCTTCAGTATATTTGATTCTTGTCGTGGTTATGTGTTCTCCTTATCATGGTAAGACCCCCTTCGTGTCGGAATGGTGAAATCCACCCAAGAAAGCAAACGGGTGACCCGTCCAGCCCCACCCCCCAAAGAACAAGTTTGGGTTCCTATTTGGGCTTGTCTTGAAACCAACGCCAATAAGGGTCTACTTCAAGTTCAGATCAACCCAGTTTCCAAGTGAGATGATTTCCCTGCACCCTTCCCCCAGAAAAATATCCTAGCAACTCTGGCTCAACTCCCATGAATTTGGTATCCGTCTGGTCTCCATCTACACTTTACACAAACCTCAAGGCTTGATCTCAACCTGGCTTCGATTTTGCGGACGCACCTTGGCTCCAAAAACAAAAACAGCGCAAACACAAAGTCCCGGGCTGAGGTTGATGTGCTCTCCCTCTTTGAGCTGCTCCGGAGCCAGCGCGTGCATGCCCGCGCGTTCGCTGCCTGCAGACAGCTCAAACTCTGGAGACTCACTTCCGATGGAGTGGGGGGGGCAACAAAAAGTCCAGGAACCTTTTCTTTACGACTAAAATGATCTTCCCAATAAGTTTCCAACTCAGGAAGTGAGGACAAGGCGTAATGGTAGCACCAGGCTTTTTCATTGGGGCGCAGACCTTTGCCAACCTGTTGCGCGCAACAACATAAAATGATCTCAGATTGTGGTCAATATTTAGTCCCTAAAACCCAGATGTTGTTGGTATCCCTACAGAGTTGCCTTTTCAGGAGGTGTTCAAATAACTTCCTGTTCAAAGGAAGTTCTTGACATCTACTATGAAGGCAAATGTCCTTTTGTATACGACGACCCCGAAATACAAATAAATAGAGGCGTGGTCCCCCTAAAACAAGTTGAAGGATTCCCTCTTCGATAGGACTTCATCTTCCTAACCCACAAGGGTTCAATTTTGAGTTCGCTGTATGCTTCATGAACAAGCGGACACACCCTTTGTGTGGTTGTCGGGTATGTCTCAAACGACACCTCAACCAGACAGGAAAGGAACAACAACGGATACTCCTTTGTAAAGCTGGCTTGTCTTAAAGCATTCTCAAATTCAGGAAGGAAAGTCTTGGATTTCCGGACAATTAGAAAAGCAAATGCGCCTTCTGGCGTGGTTGTTTCCACTGCCGGGGTGACCGATCAGGTTTTCCGATATCCCTCCGGGTACCCATCCACACAAACCTGATATCTGATAGGTTCTCCAAGGCCGCATGGGAGATCCCGAAATCAGCTACACCTTTGGTGGTTTGGAGTGGTTTGGGCATTTCAACCCCTCCATTTCAATTCAAAGAGGGGAAGGCACCCCGTAGCACCCCAAACCACACAACCAACCACCAAGCAGTAAGGCGACGAGGGGGCGAATGTGTTTTTATCACGACTCATTGTCTCCCTCCCCAAAAGCAAACTGCAAGATAAGCGATCAACCGGACCCATCTTTGTTGTTGGACCCCGCAGACGAAGCGTACAACTCCTCCTTTTTGAGGGGGTCTTGATAATAGATATGTATCCCTCCAAATGAGTGTGGGTCACAATTAGGTACCCAAAAAGGATTCCTGGTAATACTGAACTCTGCGGTCCAATTCCTGGTGGTGTTATATTGACCCCTACCCAAATTCCTCTTAGGGAGTCAAAAGGCAAACCAGCTGCAACCCTTTCTTTCCAGGGCTACCACCCTTTCCCCTCACAGGGCCCCGAAACCAAAAAAAAAAAGACACCGCCAAGGACACAGAAACACAAAATGATCATGGTACTCGTGCAGGTGAGATATTCGGAAATGGTGAAGCTCCCTCGTGAGGGCCAAAGCATGGCGCCAACAAATCGTCGACTTCACCCTGCGAGTTGAAAGCCGACCTCGGGGATTGACACGGGGTGTGTTCAGATTGGATTCGGACCAAACGTCCCCTTCAACCCCACCCCAAAAAGGGATCCGTGTCGGCGGACTGGATCCTCGAACACCCAAAGGACCGTCCCTTTATTAGGGGGGTGAACACCCCTCCAACAGTGGTCTGAATCCCCACTAAAAGGGGACACCCCCCTATTAATCAACCAGGGGTTTATTTATCCGGGTTAACATTATGGCGAGCCTCAAAACGAAAAGCCAACAAAAAAGCTCGCCGCCGTTGTCTCGCCGAGCAATCGCAACGACATCGACTCGCGAGGTTCGCCGGGGACTCGGGTGCCGTCCTGCTAGGTCCACCAGGTAGACACGGGTCTCCCGGGTGGAGGAGCTGGGCAGATGCTTCAGGCGGCTGCCCGCGGAAGTCTCAGCGCGAGGTGTGGGGGTGGGGGCGGGGAGGTCGGGTTTGGGGTGGGTTGAGGTGGGGGGTTCGGTTGCTTCTTGTTGGGTGGTTTGGGGTGGGTTGAGGTGGGTTTGGGGTGGATTGGGTCTGGTTGGGTTTGGTTGAGTGGGTTTGGGCTTGGGGCCCAGATGACACGGGGGGATTGTTATCAACTTTGTGTTGCCTGATTGAACTATTGTCCCGAACAAAGAATAAGCTTCGCTTTTAAGCGGGGGTTGGGGGGACTAGGAGAAGGATGTTCACCTACGTGAAAAGTGAAGTAGGAACGCGTGCTTAGCGGCGCTTTTTGCCTCCCACGTAATTGGGGGGTTCCTTTGCACATCTAATCGAAACAACGTGTTGGTTGTGCATGAGGGTCCACACTTCCCGGTACTAAGTTCCCCGTTGACATGATGGTTTCCCTTGGCCACGTACAATGGCTCACCTGGCGGTGTATGTCACATGGGGACGCCACCAAACCGCTCTCTGTGCAGCGCCTGTCGCAGATCAATCCAAGAACCACTAATTGTTGGTGGCGGAATCTCCTTTTTGAACCGGGACCCTCATTTCGCTCGTTTAAGGGTTTAGCGCCCAATTTGCAGGGGTATACTTACTCTAGAAAGGTCTTCGCGGCGTTTACAGTACCGCTAAAGAATACAATCCGTGTCATTGGCAATGGCCACGTCCCTAGTTAGAAGGCCAACTAGCAAGCAACTATGACCTTCAGCAAATGGAAGAACACAAGGTGGACCCAGTGTGCTTCACAACTCATGCCTTGCCAACCCTTCACCTTTTCGTCAAAGCTAATACCTAGCAGGAACCATTTGCATTTTCACGTGCTTGCTCTAAAACACATCTGACAAGGAAAGATATGCCAAATGCTTGCACAGCGCAGGTAACCACGTGTTACCCGGTCCAGTTGCACCTGGCAAACTATCTTCTGACCAGACTCACAGCCAAGGACCGCGTTGTTGGCTTCTCCATTTGAGCTCCGATTCAAACAGCTAACCTGGAAGGCATCCCCCTGAAGCATTAAAACAAAAGCAGAGGCTGTCCCCGCAACGGGTTTGGGAATATGAGCCCAGCCCCCAGCCCCCGGCGGCGCCTGCTGGGACCAACAAAGGTGCAGCCTCGGAAGCGGCTGAAAGCGGCTGATCCTAGAGCAAAAAACCTGTTGAAAGGAATGAATCTTGAAAAGACGGGGGGACAACCTCTTGAACACTTGAGGGTAACTCCCCACCCCCCCGCCCCTTAAAAAAATAAAATAAAAAAGAGTGAGAGCTGCTCTTCGCTTGAAACAGCACCAGAAAAACCAGCAAGGACCTAAGAGAACATGCCTTTGCGTCTTCCATTTGAAGGGTTTGGTGCATCTTAAAATGCGAAGTCTTGGCCAGTCATGACCAATGCCCTGAACAGCCAAGAAGGAATCCGAGGAGTTTAACTATCAGCTCAAGCGAATGGAAAACGATTATGCAAGTTCGAAAGAAAGGTGATTAGACCTCCCAACAGCGACAACCAAAGCGCGTTCTGTCCCATAGTTGCTTGAATCATCGGCTTCCTATACGTCCAACCTTGAACATTCCTCTTTCCAAGGGAAGCTCACTCTAGCTGTAAATATGTGCGTTTCCACCGGGTGATGCTGAAAACCACCCGATCTAGGGAGGCTGGCCTCATGTTTGCGAAGGAGCGCCGCACATCCAGAGACGCAAGGACGACGCTGGGGGGAGGCCCACCAAAACACAGCAAATCTCTCTCACTTGCAGAAAGGACCTAGAAATAACAGGTTAACCTCGTGGGACCCTTGCTAAAAGTACACCTAAAAGGGAAATTAAAAGGTTCAAAGGTTGGCTTTGAACAACTGAGCTCCTCATCAACTTCCTTGAGTGTGACGGAAAGAAGCGACCGATGTTTGAAGTAATGTGGGAGCCAAGAGCCAACCACCCATTCAAAGTCCCGATTGTGGAATCCCTTTTTCTTCCCCATCAACTTGGTTTCCCAAAAAAACAATCACCAAGAAGGGCGCTGAGCCTCAAAAAAAGGACACACACAGACACATGGTATCAAAATTGGGGCACACACACACACACCAAAAAGAAAACATGAGAAGGTGTGCCTTTCGGTTCTCTTCCAACCCCCATCCCAAAAAACGGGGATCATCCTAAACAAAGAAACAAAACACGAGCCGCCCGCCTGTCCATCAGCGCGCCCCTCTGGGGTTCCGGGCATCACCACGGCATGGCTGCGGCTGGACCGGGGGTTGAAGACCGTCTTGCCCACCATGCGGGTGGCGGCCCCCTGAGCTTCGAATCTCCCCCAAAAAGCCGAGGCTTTGGGAGAAGTCTGGGCCAAACTTCCCAGAAAAATTGGAAATTGGGGTGCACCCTCAAACTACCCAAGAAAAAAAGGGTAAATTGGGGTGGACCCTCAAACTACAACAGAAAAATGGGGGCTTCGCCAACCAGTATTGTGGTTGGCAACCACCCAATTGTGTCTGGGTAGTTTTTGCGGCCGGCTGAAGGAAGACCACTTTTCCCCGGCGGGGCCGGTGTAAATACACTTCAGCCCGGACGAAACCCATCCCCCTTGTTGGCCTCGAAGATGTAGCCCCAAGCTGGGGGAAGCCAACCTTTTTCGCAGCAGAGGGGGTGCTACGCGAACGGAGGGCGCGTCCGGCGGAAAAAAAAGAAGAAGCTGGGGCACCAAATCACAGCCACTCGAAACGCCCACCTCCGCTGAAACAAATGCAAGAATCGGCAAAAGATGGATCACAACCTCCAAAGACTCGCCACACGCATGCGTAGAGTGTGGCATGCCAGCCTCAAGAACACTCAACTTTGCTTGTTTTGGGCTTTTTTGTGGCTTTGTGTTTTTTCTTGGTACCCTTTTTCCCCCTGGCCGAAAAAAAAAAGGAAGCCAACGCCGCGCTTCGCCTTCCGGAGAACCAGCTCCAGCCTCGCGGAGCCAGCTGTGCACTTGCTGCTCCATCTGGTCCAGCTCGCAGCGCCTCGCATTCGGAGAGACAGATCCAACCAACGTGTAGGCATATACCTGGAGTCTCCATGACCCCTAGAAAATGTTTGGTCAT